CTAGATGGGTTTTCAGTGCTGGTGGGGAAACACTATAGTTTCACACTCCGCCTTTCTGTTGCATCAATGTGACATCTGGGATCATCTGGAGAGTAATGGTGAGGTGAAGACTTCAAGTAGCTGCAAAAGAATGAACTCTGATCCCTGTCTAATGCCAGGAAAAAGTCAGATCAAAGTGGATTAAAGAAATCAATATCAGATATGAATCCATAACGTACATGGAGGAAAATGTAAGCACAACCCTCCATGACATTAAAGCTGAAAGCATCTTTCAGGATGAAACACCACTGACCAAGCAAGTGAAAACAAACATAAACAAATGGGACTACATCAAACTAAGAGGCTTCTGCACTTCAAAAGAAACAGGGACAGAGATTGCCCACAGAATGGGAAAGAATATTTACCCAATACCCATCTATAAGGGATAAATATCCAGGATATACAAGACACTAGTAGAATTGTACAAGAAAAAAACCTCCAAGCCCATCAAAATATGGGGAGAAGAAATGAACAGAAGCTTTCTCAAGAAATAAATACAAATGGCTAAAAGGCACATTAAAAAAAACTCCACATCACTAATCATCAGGGATTTGCAAATCAAAACAATAATGATATATCATCTCACACCACAGAGACTGGCACACATTCAAAGGAATAAAAGCAACCAGTGCTGGTGTGAATGTGGGGGAAAAGGGACACTCTTTCACTGTTGGTAGGAATGCTGACTGGTCTAGCCTTTCTGGAAAACAATATGGGCATTCCTTCAAAAATTAAATATTGAGTTTTCATATGACCCCACAATAATACTTCTGGGAATATATCTCAAGGATGTAAAAAAGCACAGTAGAAATAATATCTGTACCTATATGTTCATTGCAGCACTGTTCACAATAGCCAAAATCTGGAAACATCCCGAGTGCCCGAGAACAGATGACTGGTTAAAGAAAAACTTGGTACATCTATACAATGGAATAGTATGCAGCTGTTAGGAGAGATGAAGTCATGAAATTTGCTTATAAGTGGATAGACTTGGAGAATATCATGCTAAGTGAAATGAGTCAGAAAGAGAGGGACAGACATAGAAGGACTGCACTCATTTGTGGAGTGTAAAATTACAAAAACATGAGACTGACAGTCAAGGAGAGTAGACACAAGAGTTGGGAGGACTGCTCCATAGTTGGAAGCCTGCCTTACGAGTAGGGGGAGAAGGCACCTGGAATAGAGAAGGGATCACTAAGAAAATGATGGTTGGAGGGATCGGTTGGGATGCAAGATGTGTGCTGAAAGTAGATACATAACCAAACATGAAAACCTCTCAGTATATGTATTGGAAACTCTTAACGCCCAAAAGTTTAAAGAGCATATGGGGGAAATTGTTTGCCATGTAGGCAGGGGGAGGAGGGGAGAGGAGGGGTATACTGGGGAGGTTGGTGGTGGAAAATGTGCACTGGTGGAGAGATTTGTGTTTGATCATTGTATGAAAGTAACTTGTAACTGTATCTCACAGTGGTTCAATAAAATAAAATAAATAAATATAAGAAAAGTAGAAAAGAAAAAAAAAGACTGTAGCAATGCAAGCTGAAAGTCTTTTGTCAGAACATTGTGGGAACTGCAGACGATTGTGGCAAGAGGAGTAGGCCATCACAGTCAGGAGCAAGTTGTCCAAAACTCCAAAGAATTAAAAAAAAATCTGGGTGAGGCACCCCTCATAGGAGATGGTTCTGCTCTGTGTGCTTATACTTATGCCTGCTCAGTGCTCAGGGTACCATATGTGATTCAAGTAATTGAACCAGGTTGGGCACATGTCATAATTATAAAAAGGGACCCCCTGAACGACAACCAGGTGTTACTGGAAATGAATGGGAATAAATGTTTATCCCTTGTCCAGTGCTTCTGTGGACACATTGTGATTCTAAAACCCAATATTTGTCAGACTCCCTAGTAATTTAACCTTAAATCAGGAGGTTTTCCATTTTCACATATCTACAAAGAGGCATCAATTTTGTGTATGGTGTGGCCAGTTCACTCTCCTTCTATGAAAAAGAAAATGCAGAAAGTAGTGATCAACATAAGCCTTACACACGTATAGGCAACAGTTGGAAGTTTTCAGGGGAAGAAAATTCAATAAAATATCTTTTTATAGGGAAGCCGATACTTCATCCCCCCAAAAATATTATAAATAGGGAAGCCTATACTTCATCCCAGTGAACAAGTTTCCTTTTGTGTGGTCACCTATCTTCCATGTTCATTGATTAATTTTATTTATGTATGTATTTATTTTGTATTGGGACTTTGGAACCACATGTTCATTTATTAATTTTATTTATTATTGTATTTTTATTTTATATTGGAACTTTGGGACCACACTTGCCTGTTCTCAGTGGCAATTCCTGGCTCTGTGCTCAGGAGTAATCCCTGGTGGTGGTTCAGGGGAACATAAACAGTGTTGGGGATAGAAACCAGGATTAGTGGGATGCAAGACAATAGCCTTAACTCTTTACTATATCTTTGCCCCTTCATACTTTAATGAGTAGATTAACAAATGAATTTCCTAGTTACACAGAATATAATTCCAAGCTCTGCTTTATTATATGTAAGATTTATCTGATGCTAAATTTTATTATACTTAATTAAATAAGTATAATCAAGTTTCTATATACATGGGACATTGGAAATATGTATATCTTTCCAGTGACACTCCAAGGCACTCTGAAGACAGCCCTGATTAACACAGAAGAATCTGACTCTCTGACCTGAACATATGATGTCTACACACCAGAAAGTACAGTAAGTCAGGGTAAATGTTGCCCATCAACGGGAAAATGAAGTAGGTTTCATACAGGTTTTTTTTTGTGAAGCCTCACACCTCAAATTATCATAGTAAAATCAATATAGACTATGAATAAATTGTTTTTTCTTAGAAATGAAGTTTTTTTAACTTAGAAATTTATTGAGGCAAAATGAGTTTACAAATGTGTGAATGCTGTATGTTTTGACCAGTGTTACCACATCAGGATCACCAGAAAGTGGTGATAATCCTCCACCACCTACAATGTCTAAGATCCTTCCCTGAGGATAAAGTATTCCAAAATCAATTTGACACAAGTGGTGGTGGGGGGGGGAAGGGCAGCTAGGAGAGAGAAGGGACCACTATGCCAAAGAGAGTTGGATAGGATCACCTGGAGAAGAACTGAATGGTCAAAGTAGGTAAAGGGACAAACATAATAACCTTTTAGTGCCTTTATTGCAAACTATAATGCCTAAAAGAAAACAGAAAGAGCCAGAGAGAAAGAAGAAAAGCACCTGCCATAGAGGTAGGCTCGGGGGAGGGAGGCAGGAGGAAACTGGGTACAGTGATGAAGGGACGGGTGATCAAACATTTTATGACTGAAACCCAATCAAAAACAACTTTGTAACTGTGTATCTCATGGTGATTCCATTAAAAACACATATATTTATATATACATACATGTATATAAAATAATACACATACTAATATAATTGATGGCTGGAGCAATAGCACAGCAGGTAGGGCATTTGCCTTGCATGCAGTCCACCCGGCCAACCCCAGTTTGATTCCTCCGCCCCTCTTGAGGAGCCCGGCAAGCTACTGAATGTATCTCGCCCACATGGCAAAGCCTGGCAAGCTCCCCATGATGTATTCGGTATGCCAAACACAGTAATAATGAGTCCCACAATGGAGATGTTACTGGGCCTGCTCAAGCAAATCGATGATCAACGGGAGGACAGTGCTACAGTGCTATAGTGCTTTTAAATATGGGCACCTAAGGTCAAAGAATAAAGTTAACTTAAATTGTAATTTAATGAAAAAGTAAAAAAACTCATGTTATTAAATTAAAAAAAACTGTTCCATAGTATTCTATATAAGTCACAATGAACATGAGAATTCCAAATATTTTAGGTTCATATGGGAATACATTAGAGGGAATAGGTATAGACCTGTTAAAAAGATTTTCATACTAAGAAAGCAGAGAACAGACAATCAAATAAAATTATGAGAAGTGCCAGCAAGAAATAAATAAAGCAAGTCTCATTGCACAGGGATCAAAAATATCATACTTGTCTGGCTGTCAAGAAGTGAGTGTTAATAAGAACCTAAGTACAAGTGCTCAACCAAAGTAGCCAATAGGAAAATACAAATTAAAAAAATGAATAGCTAAACAAAAAATACTTTGAAAATGATACTACAGTTTATAAAGACTGTGAAACAGCTGAAATCCTCAATATTGCTCTTTGAAACTATTTTGGAAAACTCATTGACAATATCCACTAAAATGAAAAAGTGGGTGGGCATGGTGTTTTTAGTATGCTGTGTGTAGTTTTTTGTTTGGTTTTGGGCCATACCAGGTATGGCTCAGAGGTTACTTCTGGATCTGCACTCAGGAATTACTCCTGGCAGTGCTCAGGGAACCATATGGGATGCCAGAGACTAAACCAGGCTCGACCATATGCAAGTTAAATGCCCTACCTATTGGACTATGGGTGTATGTAGTTTTAAACTGCATGTTGGCAAGTGTGTTAGAGTATTTATAAATAAACATAAAAGATATTTTAAAAAAAGAGTGTTAACGGGACAGAGAAATTGCTCCATAGCTGGAAGCCTGCCTCATGAACAAAGGGGAGAAGGCAGCTGGAATAGAGAAAAAGAAAAAGATGGCTGGAGGAATCGGTCGGAATGGGAGATGTGTGCAGAAAGTAGATAAAGGACCAAACATGATAACCTCTCAGTGTCTGTATTGCAAACTGTAATGCCCAAAAGTAGAGACAGATTATGGGAAATCATGTCTGCCATGGAGGCAGGGGAAGTGTGGGAAAGGGGGGGTATACCGGGGATATTGGTGTTGGGGAACCTGCACTGGTGGAGGAATGGGTCATTGTGTGATTGTAACCCAAACATGAAAGCTTGTAACTATCTCATGGTGATTCAATAAAATTTTTTTTTAAAGTGAGTTACGGAAATTACGGAACCAAATTCATTCTTAGGAATCATGTCCTATCGTTGTTTTCTTCCCAGTGAGATTCTTCAGAGCCCTCTTGATGTCTTTGTTCCGGAGACTGTAGATGAAAGGGTTCAGCATGGGGGTGACCACCGTGTACATCACCGAGGCGATTGCACTCGACTGGGAGTTCCGGGTCACTGCAGAGCTCAGGTACACACTTAGGGCCGTAAAGTAGAACAAGCAGACCACGGAAAGGTGGGATGCACAGGTGGAAAAGGCTTTATACTTCCCCTGAGCCGAGGAGATTCGGCGGATGGAGGAAACGATCTTAGTGTAGGAATAAATGATCCCAGTGAAGGCACCTCCGGCCAGCAGCAATGCTGCCACATACATGACTATGTCATTGACAAACGTTTCTGAGCAGGCCAGGTGGATCACCTGGTTGAATTCACAGAAAAAGTGCGGGATCTCCACATCTGTGCAGAAGGACAGCCACAGCACCGTCAAACTTTCGACCACAGAGTCCAGAATGCTAAGAATCCAGCACAGCAGAAGCAGCAGCCCACAGACCCGGGGATTCATGATGACCGTGTAGTGTAGGGGATGGCAGATGGCCACAAAGCGGTCATAAGCCATCACAGCTAGAAGACAATTGTCCATAACAACAAACAGGAGGAAAAAGTACATCTGGGTGATGCAGTCTGCATAGCTGATGGCTTTCCTGTGTGTCTGAATGTTCACCAGCATCTTTGGGATGGTGGTGGAGGTGAAGCAGATGTCAACAAAGGACAGGTTGGACAGGAAGAAGTACATGGGCGTGTGGAGGTGGGGGTCTGAGCTGACGGCCAGGATGATGAGCAGGTTCCCCAGCACGGTGATCAGGTACATGGACAGGAAAAGCACAAAGATGAGGGGCTGCAGCTCTGGATCCTCAGAAAATCCTAAGAGAAAAAATTCTGTAATTCCTGTAAGGTTCTCGGCATCCATGAGGTGGAAAGCCCTAGAAGGATTGAGCAGAAACTCATGATGATTTCTCAAATTACTTCTATATTTTTATATGGACTGAGGCAATATGGAATTACAAAACAAATATGTTTCAGATGTATGATTTTAAACCCTTTTTAAATAGTTATGGACACTGCATGACTACTAGAGATATAATTTACTTTACAATTTACTTTATTTTATTTATATATATTTTTTTGTTTTTTGGGTCACACCTGGCAATGCTCAGGGGTTACTCCTGGCTCTGCACTCAGTAATTACTCCTGGTGGTGCTCAGGGGCCATATAGGATGTTGGGGATTGAATCTGGGTCGGTCGTGTGGCAAATACACTACCCATTGTACTATCAGTCAGGCCCAGAGATATTATTTATATAGGGTGTGAACTACTAACATTTGAAGCCAAAACTATCCCCATTGCATGGGTATAGGTACCTATTCCCTTTAGCACCCCTGTATATGATTTTGTCCTCATTTCAGCTTGTTCCCAAGACAATATTGATCAAAGCATGTTTACAGCAATTTCTCAGGCATTTGAGCAACACTAAGCAAGTTAAGACAATATTTCAGATACTACTCAGGGCATACCTATGGGATGCAGGAAATCCTCTGGTGAAAGGTGTTACAATTGTTATGTACCAAATGTGCTTTAATTATTATGTTAAAGTTCTTTGTTGTCATCTTTTATAATATCACATAATTAAGGACAGCAACAACCTCATGGTCAATTAGTTCAAGAAAACATCATTCATGCACTCTTGGGCCCTGAATAATCAGAGCATCTCTGTACTGACTCTGTCTATACCCTGGGATTTATGGCAAGCATTTGTGTGCTGGGGAGGTTTGTGGAAAACGGTGCCCTGCCTCTGAGCTCTATAAAGAGACAACTGGCTCCCATAAAATGTATAGCTGGCTGTAACTGTATTTTGTCTTCTTTGTTTTCTGTGACACACCTGGTGATGCTCAGGGGTTACTCCTGGTTCTGCATTCAAGACTTACTCCTGGCGGGTTTGGGGGACCCTATCGGATATTGGGGCTCCAATCTAGGTTGGCCACACACAAGGCAAGCACCCTTCACACTGTGAGGTGGGTATCACTGCAGACATTTTTTTGAATGTATGTCTACAAACCATGTCCTCTTTGAAATATAAGTAAAAACTGTAGTTAATTTTTTATGACTCATCTTGAAACTTTGGAGTGTAGTTTTAAAGCATAAATGCAGCATTGGCCTTTGAATCCTTTGTTAAGTGGGTTAGATTCCCATGGCCCTTGACAATTCCTGGGCCCATGAGGATGAACTAAGCTTATTTCTGACTCTCCTTCTATCTCCCAGCTCACTCATTGAATGATGATAAATTTAGACATGATGCAATAAAAAAAGGGAAAGTTTTAAAGAGAAACTAGACATTGAGGGTGATTCGACCAATTAGGTGAGACCAGTCATTAGGTGACATTGAATTAGAGATCAGAAAGTGTGGTACAAGCAGGCTGTTATTTGCAAAAAAAAAAATCTGCTTGGAGGCAGAACCCCTACGGTTAATGCTGGGAGGGAGAAGCTTGTTTCAGGGAGATTGGACTAGAGCTGAGCAGGAGGGAGCATGATGCAGGAAGGCATAATGGAATGTTCCAGAAAGGAGATGGTCTCTGTATCTCTGCGGCATTTTCAAGGAGAGACACTTCCCCACCTCTGGCTCCTCTTCAACAATATTAATTTTGTTGTGAAAGAGCATCTCATGACTCCTGAGTGCTGCCTGTTGAGTGATTTCCTGTCTTTGCAATGCAAGAGTCAGCTTGGCAGTTACAAGAACCCAGTTCTCTGCCATGGGGAAGCTTCCCAGTCATGTATTTGTGTCTCTGCATGTGCTCACCCACAAATATATCACAGACATAATACATGTCAACTCATTCTGAAATTACACACCAGATCAAGTCATGAGTCTTAAAAACAACTACAGTGAACAAGATGTAGTGAACCATTGAAAACTACCTCTGACAAGATATTAATCTGAATGGTGTCCACATGGCCAAGTACAGGTGAGCTCTCATCAAAGAGGAATGGTTTCCAACTGATTGCTAATGCTATACAACTTTTAGAAATATTGTTAATCTCAAAAGGCCCAAAGAAAATTAAGAATAAACAGAGATGTGGAAACAAAGAGAAAACACATGTGAAGGATGATTGCTTTGGAACAAGGATGCGTGTGAACATTTCTATACATCAAGAATTTCTATATGGAAAAAATGTATATATATAGTAGAAGAATAACATGCATGGCTAGGGAAAACAGGAGTTAGGAAGACTGGTCAATGGTTGGAACTAACCATAAGTGTGTGGAGGACTGAGCGTAGGTAAGATAGAGAAGAGACCACTATGACAATAATAGCTGGGAAGGATCACGCTGGACAAGAGCTGAGGGTTAAAAGTAAGTAAAGGATATTCTGGATAACCTTTCAGTATCAATATTGCAAACCACAGTGCCCAAAAGGGGAGGGAGAGAGAGAGAGAGAGAGAGAGAGAGAGAGAGAGAGAGAGAGAGAGAGAGAGAGAGAGAGAGAGAAGAAAAGCACCTGCCATAGAGGCAGGCAGGGCTGAAATGTGGAAGGTGATGGGAGGGAATCTGGGGACACTGGTGCTGGGAAATGTACACTGGTGGAGGGATGGGTGTTGGAACATTGTATGACTGAAATCCAATCATGAAAAGTTTTATAAATAAATCAATAAAATGAGGTGGAAAAAAAGAATTTCTAATGAAGGCTATGGAAGTGACAGATCATAGAAAAATCATAATTGACTTTGAAAATTAATAAAGTAGTACATATCTATGTTTCTTTTCTTTTCTTTTTTTTTTTTTGGCTTCTTGGGTCACACCAGCAATGTAAAGGGGTTACTCCTGGCTCTGCACTCAAGATTTATGCCTGGAGGTTCTGTGAGGACCATATGGGATGCTAGGAATTGAACCCAGGTCGGCCACATGCAAGGCAAATGCCCTACCCACTGTACTATCACTCCAGCCCCTGTATACATCCTTTTTAACAGTCCTACAAATATAAGAATATAATGAAAACTGAACAAAAGTGAACAATCCAAAAGCTGTCATTGTTTTGTTTGAGGTGAATGGCACATAAAACAAACATCATTCCTTGATGCTTTCATTATGCTAAAGTCAAAGACCCAATGGGCTATTGATAGGCAAGACAAGATACACAAGGTACTTTCCCTGCAGGTGGTCAACAGGGTTTGGATGCCCGGCTGCCACATGACCTTCAAGCCCTGCTGACCAGAGATCCAAGAGGAAGCTCTGAGCACAGCTGGGTGTGGCCCCTAAACAAATAAAAACACAAAACAATAGACTAGTCTGATAAGCATGCAGATATGTCTGGTCACTCAGGAAAGGAAATAATTAGAATGTAAGCTCATTGCATAGTCCCTTTCACACAGTCAGATAAAAACCCTCAGAGAGAAGATGGCGGGGTACAGGTGTCTAGTGCATGACTGTTCCTGTTCAAGGTAATATTTTCACATATTCTTTAAGTCTAGGTCTCATTCACTTACAGAACATCACAATGAAAAATATAGTTATAGGGTCACTGTAAGATAACATTAGTTTGTCCTTTCTCTCTTGCCACATGGAGCTTAGGTTTATCACGTTACACCCATCATAGTGCTCCCAAGTCACTCCCACTCCTCTGTGTTTATCTGTAACCTCTTTTCCGTGCTCTCTTCCCTAACCAGTCTATCACCCTTTCCCCATAATCAGACTCTATTAACTTGTAAGGTCAGATCCTTCTAAGGACACTTCACTTGTATTCATGAGTGAAATATTGCCTTTCTCCTCTCCTTATGTCTTTTACATGGTTTACTTTAAAGCAATGGCCTTTTTGTATAGACACAGAAAGACAGTTAATATTACACTTTTGCAACTTAGGAGTTATTTGACCCCAAATAATATTCACTCCTGGGCATCTTCTTTCTCAACTTAAGCCTCAGTTGCTCTTACTTCCTAGCACCCCAAAAGCAGAGTCCCGATGAGGGGTTGAATGGACCCAGGGCAAGCTGTGAGCTACCCTGACATCAAAATGGGCAGGGACAAAGAGCCACAATACTTAACTATAAGTTAAGGGCATAGTCATGGACAAATTCTGTCATGATCCAAAAAGTAACAATGAGATTAGTATCCTACTAGGGATAGGAAAGACTAATCTGGCCTGAGCACTGTAGTCTGAGATTTATAGTGAGATGACCCGAGGAGATCAATCCTATAAGTTTAAAGTATCTCTTACTGTGTCCATACAAAACGACTAATATTAAGAATGTTTGTATATTTTTTGGACTAAGGAGAGGAGGAACACACCCAAAGATGGAATTTCAATCTTGGGTGGGTCGTGCTACTGCATGAGAATCTGTCCTAGAAGAAGCTTCTCCTGAGGGAAGGACTTTACGTTTGTTGATTGTATAACCACACATATGTGTAATTATGACCCCAACTGCTCATGATTTGGGATTTAACTAAGGCTGTAAGAATGGGCTGGGGGAACTGTTTACAATAGCCAGAATCTGGAAAAAACCTGAGTGCCCGAGAACAGATGACTGGTTAAAGAAACTTTGGTACATCTACACTATGGAGTACTATGTAGCTGTTAGAAAACATGAAGTCATGAAATTTACATAAAAGTGGTACTACATGGAAAGTATCATGCTAAGCGAAATGAGTCAGAAAGAGAGGGACAGACATAGAAAGATTGCATTCATCTGGGGAACATAAAGTAACAAAACAGGAGACTAATACCCAAGAATAGCCGAGATAAGTACCAGGAGGTTCATGGTTTGGAGGCCAGCCACACATGCTAGGAGAAAAGGCAGCTTAGATAGAGAAGGAGGCATCAAAGCATCAAAAAGCATCAAAGGTGTTCGAAGGATCCTCCCAGGATGAGAGATGCATACTGAAAGTAGACTATAGACCGAACATGATTGCCACTCACTGCC